TTTTTGTTATTGATTTTGAAAAAGTAACAATGTAGTCACTTGAATTATCTATTCATTACATTTTGATCATTGAATATTAACTCTATAGTCTTATTAATCTTACGTAGCACATTGGTAAAAATAGTTAAATTTTAGCTTGACCATTAAATTTTTTGACATAGCATTAGTTTTTCTTCAAACTTCAGATAAAATACTAATTTAACACTCAAACTTTAGATAAAATATCAAAGCAATACATAAATCCATTAAAATCCACACTGACACTCATCATCATCAACATTTATCGTCGATTATCATCATCAACCACCTTCGACCATTATTATTTTTCAAATACTTAAATCAAAATGATTATTCATGACAAAAGCAACAATATATTTTTCAGATGCAATAATATAAATCAAGGTTGAGAGCCTTTAGACAATTAATTTATTATTATTTGTATTTTTTAAAAAAGGTTAAAGTATACAAATGGTCCCTCGACTATAGGATGTTGTTTGTCAAGTTCCTCGACTATCAAAAGTTATAAAATGATCCCCCAGCTATAGGATGTTACTTTGTTGAGTCCATCGACTATTAAAAGTTACAAAATAGTCACCTGACTATTCATTATGTTTCAAATTTGTCCTTTTCTATTAGAAATTTAACAACAATATGGGTTGAATGTTAATCTGTTGTCTAACATATGATAAAATATGATCTCAGAATCTCAAATGACTTTCACATCTAAGACAACATACTAACATCCAGCTCAGATTGTCGTTAATTTTTAATAGAAAATGACAAGTTTGGAACATAATGAATAGTTGGGTGACCATTTTGTAACTTTTAATAGTTTAGGGACTCAACAAAATAACATATACTATAATCAGGGGACCATTTTGTAACTTCTAATAACCTAAAGACTCAATAAAGTAGTGTCTTATAGTTGAGGGACAATTTGTGTACTTTACCCTTTTTAAAATGGATTTGACTTTGACCTTAGCTGTAATTAGTTATAAATTCAATGTCAAATGCTAATTAGTTGAAGTAAAAAACTTACATTACTGAAATAAAATGTACAGAAGAATGACCATTTATCCTATGGCTACCACCGACAAAGTCTGTAAATTTAAAATAATGTACCAAATAAATTCAGAAAAATATTATAGAAAAAAAAAACATTAAATAAATTGATTCTTTTAAATTAGACTACAATAAGTAATTTCCTTGGTAAACTATCATTTCAATTGAATTATTATAGAAAAAATATGATTAAATAAGTTCTCAGATTTAAAAATATATTTTTAATTAAATCATTATTTAAATATTTTATAACCAAGTTACAAGATATTGTCGTGAATTTTCAACTAAAAAATCAATTAAATCAGCATTTTTTTAATATTTACTCAACTATCTTCTAATTCGACAAAAGTCAATTTTTTATATAAAAAAATAAATTTCAGATAAATATTCTATGCACAATTTTTAAATATGTTGTTAATCTCTTAATTTTTCTTGAATTGTTTAAAAATCGTAAATTTAATCATTCAATTTTTTGTTCTCACTCCTATTTAGGTCACTAAAGTTTAAAAAATTTCAATTTAATTACTCAACTTTCGAACTGTTCCTATTTTAATCGCTCCATCATTAAATCATAAACGGTGTGATAACACATCAAAACGACATCGTTTTGAATCTTTACATAATGTAAAATTTAAACAAAAACAATGTCATTTAGTGTCCTTATAAAAGTCACTTTTTCTCCTCCTCCTTCTTCTTCTTCTTCTTTTTTTGTTTTTTGAAAGGGGTCTTGTATGTTATTAAAGCATACGGAACATACAAAAACAACGACAATGATCGATACCTCACTAAAAAAACCTCCCTAACCGTAAAAGGAGGAAAAAATTGCCCCGAGCCAATTTCATACGATAACAAATACAATGAAACGATAGTAAACCATAACCAATGTCTTACACACTATAACTTTTTTTTTCTTCTTATTCATCATCCTTATCCTCATCCTCATATTTTCCCTCTTATTTTATCTCCCGCTCCTTTAATCAACCCCAATTTTAAACATCACTTGCCATTTCGATAAATGAATTAATCATCATTTCAATCATCGATAGTCGACGATAGATAAGCCTTAAAATTTTTCACCAATCTCATTTTCCCTCGTTAACGCGAATTTAATATCTGTTTGACCGAAAATACTCTAAATTTAAAAAATATAAGTTGAAGAATTTGGTTTCTTGCTCTCTAATCTCTAACATCTATCGTTGAATGGAACTTTAATAGAGATATGTTGCTTCACACCCCAAAACATGCCTCTCCATCACCGAGTTCTTCAAATAAAGAATATGATAGCTAAAGATCTTCCAAAGTCGAAGGTGAGTTTCTTTTCATAATGCTTTTTGCTTCTTCTTTTTCTTTCACAATTTAACTTTTTTCTTTTACAGGTTACAAAAAGGACGGAGGAGTAGTTAATGGATGAGTGTTTGATTAATGATCAATTTGGGATGCATGTTTGGGTTTAAGGATGTGAGGTTAAAGGTGATAATGGAGGTTTCGCTTTGTGATTTAGGGAGGTGACGATGAGAGTTTGAGATTTGGGGTTGGAGAGGATGAGAGTAAGGTTCATAATGAAAATGGGGTTTGAGAAATAGGGTTAGAGACTTTGATTTTACTTTTTTACTCCAATCATATGTGAGAATTTCATGTGACAAATTTATAAAATAATCCATTTCAAGAAAATAGATAATAAAACAAGTCATGTCATTGTACTATTTGAATTTTAATGGTGGAGTAACTAAAATAGAAGTAATTTAAAAGCGGAGTGATTAAATTAAATTTTTAAAAATTTCAGTAATTAAAATAGAAATACAAATAAAAATGAATAATGAAATTTATAACCTTAAATATTTAATAAAAAATTCACTATAAAATTATATATATATATATATATATTTTTTACTGAAACTTAGGATTCCTTTTTAATAATAATAATAAAAAAACAAGAGATATCCTTGAATTGTTGCATAGAAAATGGGGGGATCATAACTATAGATGGATCCATCTTAAAACGACACACTTTTGGCTCTCACGAGCTTCTCCTGCACGGTCTTCTCTTTCATGAGTTTAATATTTGGTAAGAAACTAAAAATAATAATAAATTATAGTATTATAATTTTTTAAAAAATATTGAAATTTTATTGAGCAGATTTAGTAGTAAAATAAAATATTATTCTTCTTAATATCTAAGTTCAAATAACTACTAGTATTTAGATTTATATTTCAGTATAGTAAATTAGATTGTGACTATATATATTTAGATTTAAAAATTTAATAATTCACATTATATAAAAATTTAAAATTTTAATGTAATTGTGTGATGCTTGTATTATTTTTTAGGATAAGATATATAACGGTCACGACTATATGGTATTGTCTTGTTGAATCTCTTAGTTATCAAAAGTTATAAAATGATCCTCAATTATATGATGTTGCTTTGTTGAGTCTCCGATTATTGAAAATTATAAAATTGTCAACTGACTATTCATTATGTTCAAAATTTGTCCTTTTTCGTTAAAAAAAATTGACAGCAGTCTGAACTGGATGTTAATATATTGTATGAGATATAATAAAATATGATTTTAGATTATCAAACGACGATCATATCTTAGACAATAGATTAACATTCAACTCAGACTATCTTTAATTTTTTTAACGAAAAATTACAAATTAGAATATAATAATAGTCGGGTGATCATTTTGTAACTTTTAATAGTCGAATGACTCAACAAAGCGACATGTTATAGTCGTAGACTATTTATTAACTTTTAATAATCAAGGGACTCAACGAAGTAGTGTCAACTAATTAGAGTACCATTTATGTACTTTACCCATTTTAATATAATAATAACTTTATATTATCATAAAATTATATATATTTTTTTTATATTTTTGGTAAGAACAAAGGAAAGAATGAAGAAGTTAGAGATATTTGTATAAAACTCATAGCTTAAAGTAGATAGGCTTTAAGAAGGGAAAAAAATAAAAAGGGCTATCCATTTGGATATGCTTTCCAATATTAATATATAATGGATGATGTCATTGATGACATCATAATTACTTTAACATCCACAAGATTAAATTTTATCCAATATTATCTTCGTATATAGAAAATGGATAATTTATTTTTCAAGGGTAAAATTATTGTACAGGTCCTTATATTATAGTACAAAGTTTGTTTTGATATGTGCGAAAATAACCTATAAATTTTTTTTAGTTTAACCACTGGTATAAAAACTATTGATCAATTAACGTAGATTGAATATTAGAAATATTCAGTTACAAAAACAATCATTCTAATATAATTTACTATATTTATAATATCATAATTCGAATCTATAACCTTAGAAAATAATTACTTTGCGAAACAATTAAAAAACAAATAAACTTAATCAAATGATGCAATTAAATCTAGCATGACGATTTGTAAGTGATGCAACATTAAATATAATTATTTGAATTAAGTCATGTCACTTAAATATATAATGTTATAATTTATCTTATTATTTAATTAAGCTTATTTTATAAATTTAGTATATTTGTCAATAATCTCTAAAATAATTGTCAATTGATTAAAAGTTTTTAGTTGACATTTCTTTAAATTATGGATTCAATATCCCTTAAGCGCAAAATTGTCATTCCCCTTCTTCTAGATGCTAGGTGGGAACTGTTTAAAAAAAAGTTTAATACTTATAATCATTATAGAATTATGGGATCAAAATGTAATCTATGATATAATATAGGGACTTATACTGTATGTTTACCGTTTTCCAACTGTAAAAATGAAATTTCGGGATTAAACGATGATGGCAGAATAATTAAAGAAAGTGATGCGTAAATAAAAGAAAAAAAAGGAATTTTACTGAGAGAAGTGATGATGTATACAGTCACAGTAGAAGAATCTTCTTCTCTCTCTATCGTTTGCCTTATATAATTTATAAATATATGTATTCCTTCGTAACTTTTCTCAGCTGATTTCACATTCAATTTTCCCTTCCTCTCTCAGGATTCAGTTGATCATTGCATTTTCCGGCATTGGCGTCGGCGAACTCGCTCCGGCTACTGCTTTTGACCAGGTTTCGTTTTCGAGTAAGTTTTGACTATTTTTTTTTAATTTTTTCAGTTTGTTAATATCTGAAATTTGAAAGAAAGAACTATCTTTTATTATGAATAATTTGAGTGTGCCTTTAGATCTAAATTTTTATTTTTATTTTCCTTTTAGTTAATTGAGAGCGAATATGACTGTGGATGAAGTGACGGCTGTGCCTGCGGTGGAGGAGGTGCGATCGTCTTCGTCCAAGGTTGAGATTGCGGCGGAGGAAGTTCAGGTGAAGAAGAATGGAAATGAAGATATTTCCAATGGCATCAAGGGGGGGACTGTTAGGGAAGACAACGACGGCGACGGTGATTATGTTTTCGTTAACGGAAACGAAGAAGAAAATGGAGGTCTAGTGGAGTCGGATCTTGAGAAAAACGGAAATGGCATTGATGGAAGAGATCAGGGGGTTGAGAGTGTGGAGACCGATGGAGAAGTGAAATCTAAAACTGATTTGGTTAAGGATTCGAGAGAAGAGGATGAATCTTGTATTGAAATTGTGGATCAGGACAAGGAATCGATGGAATTGTGCCACGTGGACGCTCCTGTTGATGAACAAAATTCAGTGGATCTTGTTCGGAGTGGTCCTGTTTTTGCAATTAATGCTGAAAATGGTGTGCCAGAAACTGCCACGACTGATCAGAATGAAGTCTCTGAATCAGCTGAAGATGTTTCTGATGCTAACAATATAGGTGAACACACTGGTTCAGAAGCTGCTGCTGTTGACTCCAGTGATAAACAGAGTGATGGAGAAGTGAAATCTAAAACTGATTTGGTTAAGGATTCGAGAGAAGAGGATGAATCTTGTATTGAAATTGTGGATCAGGACAAGGAATCGATGGAATTGTGCCACGTGGAGGCTCCTGTTGATGAACAAAATTCAGTGGATCTTGTTCGGAGTGGTCCTGTTTTTGCAATTAATGCTGAAAATGGTGTGCCAGAAACTGCCACGGCTGATCAGAATGAAGTCTCTGAATCAGCTGAAGATGTTTCTGATGCTAACAATATAGGTGAACACACTGGTTCAGAAGCTGCTGCTGTTGACTCCAGTGATAAACAGAGTGATGAGATTTCTTCTGACTCTGGCCCTGACGTCAATGGTTCGGCTAATGGTGTTGAAGCCAATGTTCTCGATTTCAGGTCTAAAGGGAATGAGGAATCTGAAATGGTTGTAGCTGATGATAGTGATTACAATGTAAATGGTCTAGCTAATGATAGTGCTAAAGCCCCTGCCTCCGTAACATATGATGTTGATTCCAGGTCAAAAGAAAATGAGGGCTCTGAAACGGCTGTAGCTAATTATAGTGATTACAATGGAAATGATATAGCTAATGATAGTGCTAAGGCCCCTGCCTCCGTAGCATATGATGTTGATTCCAGGTCAAAAGAAAATGAGGGCTCTGAAATGGCTGTAGCTGATTCTGGTGATTGCAATGGAGATGGCTTAGCTAATGGTAGTGCTAAGGCCAGTGTCTCTGAAGCCAATTTTCTCGATTTCAGATCAAAAGAGAATAAGGGCTCTGAAATGGCTGTAGCTGCTGATGGTGATTGCAATGGAGATGGTTTAGCTAATGATGGTGCCAAGGCCACTGTGTCTGAAGCCAATGTTCTCGATTCCAGGTCAACAGAGAATGAGGACTCTGAAATGGGTGTAGCTGATGATGGTGATTGCAGTGGAGAAGGTTTAGCTAATGATAGTGCTAAGGCCACTGTCTCTGAAGCCAATGTTATCGATTCCAAGTCAAAAGAGAACGGAGGCTCTGAAATGGTTGTAGCTGATGATGGTGATTGCAATGGAAATGCTTTAGCTAATGATAATGTCAAGGCCACTGTCTCTGACGCCGATGTTATCAATACCAGGTTAAAAGAGAACGGAGGCTCTGAAATGGCTGTAGCTGATGATGGTGATTGCAATGGAATTGTGTTAGCTAATGATAGTGTCAAGTCCACTGTCTTTGAAGCCAATGTTATTTATTCCAGGTCAAAAGAGACCAAGGGCTCTGAAATAGTTGTAGCTGATGATGGCGATCCCAATGGAGATGGTTTAGCTAGTGATAGTGCTAAGGCCACTGCCTCTGAAGTTCTCGATTCCAGGTTGAAAGAGAACGAGGGCTCTGAAATGGCTGTAGCTGATGATGGCAACTGCAATGGAGATGATTTAGTTAATGTTAGTTCTAAGGCCACTGTCTCTGAAGCCAATGTTAGTGCTAAGGCCACTGTCTCTGAAGCCAATGTTAGTGCTAAGGCCACTGTCTCTGAAGCCAATGTTATCGATTCCAAGCCAGAAGAGAATGAGGGCTCTGAAATAGCCGTAGCTGATGATGACAGTTGCCATGGAGATGGTTTAGCTAATGATAGTGCTAAGGCCACTGTTTCTGAAGCCAATGTTCTCGATTTCAGGTCAAAAGAGAATGAGATTTCTGAAATGGTTGTAGCTGATGATTGCGATGGAGATGGTTTAGCTTATGATAGTGCTAAGACCACTGTCTCTGAAGCTGCTGTAGATATGAGGAATAAACAGAATGAGGTTTGTGAATTGCCTGTTACCGATGATGGGGTTACTACCATCTCTGTCTCTGACCTTGATGGGGATTGTTTACTTGATGTTAGGGAAAAGGATACAGTTTCAGAAGCTGTTGTTGTTGAATCCGGGGCTGAACAGAATGAGTCCACTAACAGTGGTGAAGTTGAAGCTGATTCTGCATGTCCTGTCTCTAATGTTAATGTAGACAGGCCTGAACAAAATGCCGTGTCTGGAAATGAATCAGTTCAAGTTGGGGAAAGCTTAACAGCTGCTGATGAGTTTCCCATGGAAAGTGGTTTGGGCTTAGAACACAATACTGAATGGAATTTGAGTTCGGTAGCTGATACTAATTTAGAGAAAGAAACTGGGAGTGTTTCTTTCTCTGGTGAATGTGGAGAGGCCTTGCAGAATGTTCACACTCAGGATGGTATTTCAGGAATGGTTCAGATCAACAACTCTGTTGATTCAGGTCAGTCTTCTGAACTTGTGGAAAACTCTCTCTCTCCCATTACAAATAAGATTGTGCATGTAACTGTTGAAGGGGTTCTTAATGATACAATAGCTGATGTCGTGGAAGGCACATCTGCCGCAGTTACACTCCACAAGGATGCAAGTGTAGAAAGTGGTGTTAGTGATACTGTAACTGAGGCTTTACCATCTTCTTCTGTTAATGACGAGAAACTGAAAACTGATGTTATTGAGTCAGATGAGAGTAGTAGAGTTGGTTTTGAGAATACCGAGATAGATATAAAGGACGAGATTGGTTCCGTTGATGATAATTTTAAGTCAAGATGCTTGGCCGATGGTGGTGTTTCTATCTTATCTGCAGAGGCTGAGGTTTCAAAAGTGCTTGTTGAATGCCATAGTTCTGAAACCGATGAAAACTTGGTGAATGTGGTTGACATTCAAAATGATAGTAACTCGGTTGTTACTGTAAGTAATGATGGAAGCACCTGCTGCAACCGGAAAATTGTCTGCTGCAGATATTTCTGACAATGTTGAACTTGTACATGAATCTAGAGAATCAGATTGTGATACTAACAATAACAAAAAAACTACTGCTGTCGTAAAGGGAGCAATTCAGTTTGGTAGTGTTGTTACATGTCAAGAGTCAGAAGAACCAGAAGGCCTTGACGAGGTTGAAAGGAGAAGTCCATTTTACTTCTTGATCAGGGTCCCAAGATATGATGATGAAAATTTAAAAGAAAAAATCAGGCTTGCTCAAATTACAGTCGATGAGAAAACTCAAAGTCGGGATGCTGTTCGAACTGAAATGCAAAAGATGAGGGTAAGAATGTTTATGTTATTCTTTCTGAAAAGAATTCAAATGTTTGTTTCTTTTTTAACGGTTGATAAAATGCTTCACTAATAGGCAATTTGCAAGAAATATGGTGATAATGTCGAGGCTGCCATATCCCAAGAAAGAGCAATACGAGATCTGCATAGGTCCAAACGTCTAGAAATAGACTCTATTCAATCTATGATGAACATTGAGGATATTGATGCCAAGGTAAGTTTCTGTTTTACTCCGTTCTGATTTTGTGTCTAAAAGTGTTTTTCTTATTTATATGATTGATTGTTCTAACTATTATCACCGGTAAGCAGATTCGAAACATGGAACACATGATACAGCATGAAACCATGCCTCTTAAGGATGAAAAGCAGTATATTCATCAAATTAAGCAATATAAGCAAACTCGTGAACGAATCTCTTCTAATATAGATAAGCAGGATGAAGTTCAGCAGGGTTCAGACCAAAAAGAACAAATTCAAGAGCGCATGAAGGTATTAAATTCAATATGCGCTTCTTATTCTGGCTTTACACATTCTATGATCAAAGATCAACTTAGTATTGTACATTAAATTTGTGAAGAATTTGAGATGAATGACGGGGTCTTTCCCTAGCATAATCTCTTACTAATTAATGCAGGATGATAACTACTATTTTAGTTGTTGGATCGGTCATCTTTGTTTTGTAGTCTTAATACTGTTTTTTTTTTTCAACTGCTTATTTTATTTCATTCTTCTGCATATACAGTCTTTAAAGAAGGAAGCAGACCAATTGAAGGTCAATCTCCTGAAGGCTGAAGCAGTCACTAAGGCTGCTAAGAAAGAGTATCACGATGAAGCTGAAAAGTTGAAGAAATTGCAGTCCCAGTTCAAAGCTGCTGATGAAATCCGCCAAGAAGCATATTCGCAGTTGTTGAGTTTGAAGAAACAATCATATGAGAAGGTGCTTTCAAACCCCATAACCTTTCTTATTATGTGTAGGAACTCATACACGCATGCTAATATCCAGTCAATCTTGCCTTCACCCTTAGAGATGCTTTTAATTGGATAAAGGCAGTTAGTCATGCCATCTGTATTGAAATGTATTTAAATAGTGGAAGAACGTATCAGAGTAACAGGGTGTGGAAGTTTTTGTAGACTTGTTTTTATGATGCATCATGCATATTATTGTTACGTCAATTTGACTGTATATTGCAAACTAGAATTGCTTTAAGGACGTTTTCCCATTATTTTCCTTCTGTATCCGGTGTTTTGTGAAAGCGTTCCCCCTGGAACTAAATTGGTGTTTTATGTTTCTAGTGTGAAATACTTTAAGGTCATTTGAGATACCGATTCTTATCTACGAGCTTTCCTCTCATTCTTACTTGGTGTCTGTTCAATATATCCTGGTTTCATAGTGTGATAAAACCGCATCTTATGTTCCTGTTTCGGTTGAATCTTGCTCATGTAAACTAAGCTGTTTTTTTCTCCACAAAGACGGTAATGTAAGGATAAAATATGACGACACTCTTGAATTTTGCAGAACAAATTTTTTTGGCAGTACAGGGATGATGCAAAGGCAGCAAATGATCTGGCTTTGCAAGGGGACAGAGAGGCACTCCAAAATCTCTGTGTTAACCAGGTGAGCCCATGCATTGATTTTATTTTTTTGTAATTAAAATTTCATGTTCTGTTTTATCTAAACAGTTGATGGTTCAGGTTGAGGAAGTTATGGACTTGTGGAACAACAATGATGAATTCCGTAAGGAATACATCCGATGCAATGTCAGAAGCACATTAAGGAGACTGAGGACATTTGATGGCCGCGCGCTTGGTCCTGATGAAGAGCCACCTGTAATTCCTCAAGTAGGAAACGAAAGAGTTGCCAAGGATCATACTGTGTCCAACTCAACTTTGGAAGAACAAACACGAGAGAAAACAGCTCCCGCAAAAGCTAAAACAGCTCCCACGAAAGCTGAAACAGCAAAGGATAAACCTGCAGCAAAGGCCGTGGAGCAAAAGAATCAGACAAGTAAACCGGAAAAGTCGGTAAAACCTGTTCCTCCAGAAAGTGGTTCAGCAACTGCTTCTAGCAGGGACACATTTGAAGAAGCAGAAAAAGAAGAACCGAAGGTAACAAAGGAGGAAGAGGAAAGCCTGAGGAAGGCAGAGGAATTGAGAAAGGAACAGGAAGCGGCTAAATTGAGGGAGCAACGACGGTTGGAGGAGATAGCTAAAGCTAAGGAGGCACTAGAAAGGAAGAGGCGAAACGCAGAGAAGGCCCAAGCCAGGGCTGCATTAAGAGCTCAGAAAGAAGCTGAACAGAAAGAGAAGGTGAACTCTTCATTTTCATTAACTCTAATGTTCCGTGCCAGTTCCTCGTAACGTAGCAATACTCGATACATTTTGCTTCGTCTCTATACGATTCAGTTGAATTATCCTTTTTGATGCAGGAAAGGGAAAAGAGGACCAAGAAGAAAGAAAGAAGAAAGGGAGCATCAGTATCAGGGGATGCAAGTGTAACAGATGAAACCGAATCTGCTCGGACTTCGGAAACTCCTCCTGAAACACCGCAAAACTCTCAAAGCAAAGAAAAGCCACTAACAGTGGCAAAGAGGTCTCAAAAGCCAACTCAGTTCACAAAGCAGAGCAAGGCAAAATCCATTCCCCCGCAGCTCCGCAACCGTGGTAAGAGAAAGATGCAGCCATGGATGTGGGTCCTCCTGACGTGCCTGGTAATATTCGCTTCGGTTTTGGTCGGAAACTATAACATCTCATTCAACTTTGAGCTGCTGCAAAAGTTCAAGTTTTAAAGACATACGTATATTGGTTTGGCTTAATTCTTTTGTGCTCGCGCAGGGTGGGGTTATTTATATATTTGATTTTCTTAATTATTTTTCCTCAGTTTTTTTTATTATTATTTATTTATTTCACTTACTATAGTGTGTCATTGATTAGAGTGGTTTCTGTCAACTGCTAAATTAATATGGTGGTGGACCTGGTGGCATTGTTAAGTTGGTAAGGTGATGGTGTTATTTTATTATTTATTAATAATAATAAGGTACTATATTGGTTTTTTTTATATACTTCTCCCTCCTTTACTTTCATCTTTTTTTTCTCCGTTCTGATAGAAAATACTGGACATTTCAACTCTGTTGTCATATAAAATTACATTATGATAAAAGAATATCGACTTGAAAACAATAATTTTTAAACAAAATTAGTTTAATGAATTGAGGTGGTAAACTGATGGGATTGGATCAGGTTTCTTCCGGTTTGGATGGTATAGTTTCGGATTCTGAAACTTTTTAATTCTTAGATCGTCAAGGGTTTAATTTTTTTTTTGAAAACTATATTCAACATTTTTTTAACTGGTATGAATTTTTTTTAATTATTTTTCAATTTTCATGTCATTTTTCTCATACTATATTTTTAATTTATTTTTATTCAATTAGTTAGATATTTACTTAATTAGATGATGACACATGAAAATAACATCGAGCTTGACTTTCAAACCGAGCGATGCTCGACTCGATTACATGCCATAAACGTATGTTCACAGAGCACAACGCCTTAGGAAGAAAGTAAGTATTAACATTTGCATTCAGAATTCAACTAGTTACACTATTTTAACAGCACTCCAAGTTCCCAAAGACAACGATGAAAGATGGCAGAAAATGCAAAATCAAGTTATTGCCATTACACCGCCATGTATTTTACGGGTTCCGTTTACCCCAGATTAACATATCTCGACCATCAGCTTCGACCATTTAGAGATTTGGTTGCTTCCGACGCCAAAGCTAACGCCTTTGCTCGTGTACTCATCATCACCCACTCTCTTTCCAAACGACGCTGGTGCTGTCTTGCATTTTTTTTGCACGTTTCGGAGCTAACCGTGTGTCTTTCCACAAAGGCTAGTCTAAATTTTTCTGCTATGGATAACTCATTGGCACTTGGAAGTGTCTGAGATATTGCTTTAGCTGTAGATTGATAAACAGACCATGTTTTGGGATCAATGTCCTTGACAATGGGATCATCCAAAGCAACATCCGGAAAAGCCTCCCTAGGAACTTCGGTTCCTTCAAAACCAAAGAGTGAGGGCTTTGGATTTACGGTTATCCGTGGACATTCGGCCAACAACATCTCCACGAGTCTTCATCAATTTTTGGCTGCCAAAAAGAAGAAGCAGGTTCTGTAACAAGCCTTACCACAAAGATTCAGCGGAATGGAAGGAACACAGTAAGAGGAAGTCCATACCCACACCAGCCAACGTATAGACTGTGCACCATGACCGATCACCATGGTATAAAGCTCCTACCAAGAATCTCCCTCCACATCATTCAGCTTTGGCTTCAATATGCCTAAACATCTTTGTTGCCGTGGACTCGCTTGAATGGCACCCCCTGCAATATTAACTTTGGTTCATACCCGCCTTAATATCATTGCATATGATTGAAACAAAAAGTACCAAGTCTCAATCAAAATATTGCATATCTATTTATTCTATAGATAAACCCATCCGATATGAGATTGGTATAATTTATAATGTTAGAGCTTTCAAGATCATCTTGTACAGAACCAATAAATTTGTAGAACACGTATAAGGGAACCAATCATTCATAAAACAAGAGACTTGAATGAACCTAATAAATAGCGTGCATGGAGACAAGGGTTTACCCGCATCTCAAACTCTCCAACGAATGACAGTGCTGCACGAGTACGGATACACCATCGGCAGTAATTTTTTTGCATGGCTGCATAGATATCTCAGTAATCAATTCATTAATGATTTCAAAAGATAATTCCCTATTTTTATACCTTATGTCCACCGCCCGAAGAGATTGGCACATTTCATCTACTTTTGCCACGCCAAAATCAGTAACGTCTGAACCCGAAAGGTCAAGAATTTCCCAAGAACTATCGGCCAATGAGATGATGGCATCATCACTCAGTAATTTTCTTCTCCTTGCTATTGCTGCCAATGCTATCTGTCATCATCCAGCAATGTGTCTTATTGGAAATACTAATACAAGTTTCTCCAGCAAAGATTGTAGAAGTAATATCAGGACATTCATTAAGCCGACTTCAACAAGGGGAAAAAGAGCATCTTAAATTTTCCATTGATCGAAAGATTTATGGGTAAACTACAGAAATGGCCACCGATGTTTGAGTAAGTTTTTTCTTTTCTCCATTGATATTTTAGAAGTAACGATTTAAACACTAATATTATCGATTTATAACAAATCGATCATTCACCGCTGATACTTGAGTAAATTTATCTTTTTCATTGATATTTTAAAATTAAGTATTTAAATATTGATATTATCAATTTACAATAAATCGACCATTCACCGTTAATAATCATTATTCGAGTAAATGTGTTTAAAGTGGCATATGAGGTGACACAAAAACCATTAGCGAACTGTACTCTCAAGTCCAAAAGTTCAATCGCTGCAAAATACTACATAATAATCTGCCCACATCAAGCTTGATTTCATCGATGGTTTTCTACCTAAACCAGATTCATCATCCCTTGATCTGCTTCGTGCCTGGAGTATCGGTTCCTTAACCCATGTCGGGGATGTATCGAGTACTTGGTACGACACTAAGGTACCGTAGCAGTGCCACATATGGTGGGACTTGGGAACTAGCTTGAAGGGCGGCTATCGCAGACTCTCTTCGAAATCAGGAGGCGACGCGGATTCTGAGCCGACTCGCTTGCTTAAGAGGCAAGCCATACCATCAAATTGTGACAATACATCTTATCCACACGGTCGTTAATTAAAAAGGAAAAACAAAACACAAAAGCTAGTCGGAGTCCTTGTTCACATCATTTACTTTTATTGAAATTACAAGGCTCCTTCCTAGCAAAGGTGAAGTGAAAGGCCAACTTGCCAAGCATCAAAGTGGATGATGGGCACTAACAAATCAAAATATTTGATTCTTAATAATATTCCAAATTGATTTGGGTGAACCACAACTTTTTCTCTCCAGATTCTTCCACTTTGTTCTTTCTCCAGCCTGGGGGAATTTCAGACTCATTAAATCTCCACCATCCACGTGTTAACATTCGAATCACAACCAATCCGAAACGTTTACGACAGTTGAACCTTTGCCTATATAAACACCCCTTCTCCTGTCCCCATTGTTTCTCATCGGATCAAAATCATACAATTTCTGACTTCCTACGACGCGGTACGGTTCCTTATAAAAAACCCTTCGTCTCTTTGCTTGATTCTCTTGTTTTTTTCTCTCTCGAAGTTTTGTTTTTCGGTTCGAAGAGTCAAGGTTTGTGCTTTTGTTGCAGTAATTTTAGTATTCTAAAGCATCTACAGATTGCTTTTTCAAGTTCCGAGATAGCCAAGTACATGGTTGATTTGGACGTTCAGATCCCGACGACATTCGATCCATTCGCGGAGGCCGGGGAATTAGGAGGCACCGGGAACAAGGAGTATGTTCATATCAGAATCCAACAGCGGAATGGAAAGAAAAGCTTGACGACGGTTCAAGGGCTGAGGCATGATCTGAGCTACGAGAAGATCCTCAAGAGCCTGAAGAAGGATTTCTGCTGCAACGGCAACGTCGTCAAGGATAAAGAGCTCGGCAAGATCATCCAGCTCCAGGGCGATCAACGCAAGAACGTCTCGCAGTTCCTCGCTAACGCCGGCATCGTCAAGAAAGATCAGATCAAGATTCATGGTTTTTAAAGATTTATGAAGCCTTTATAAACATTAAATAAAAAAACTCTAGGGTTGGGTTGTGTTCTGTTGTTTTCAGACTTGTTTGCTTATGGCATGCCCCTTGGTTGGGGCGAAAAACTGTCGTCAAACATTGCCTTTGGTTAATAAATGACGGTTTTTATTTGGCTTCGAACTTTGTTCTTTCTATCTAATATTTATCGGATTAATTAATCATTTCAAGTTCATCCTAATATTATGGCTTTCATTTTAAATTAGTATCCTAAAATGATGCTGCAATTACTAGCACTTTGATAACCAAACTAGTCCAGAACTCGGTCGGCAAAGAAAAGACCGATTACGGTAGTCGGTACCCGCATTCTAAAGTGACGTTTAGCCAGCTCTGGCTATTGCAACTGCATGGAAAAAGAACAGTACGACTAACGTCACTGCTACGACAAAAAATACTCACCCACTGTTGTCCTTATGAAAATGCTGAAAAGCTTTGTAAGATGATCGTCTCTTTCGAGCCTATGTCTATGCATTGTAGCAGTGATAAATTCAATATAGTCAATAGAACCATTCCCATCCACATCAGCCTGAAACAAGTAAAACCAAGGGTTACTAGCTAGGATATGAATCGAAAAGATCGACAGATTATAGATCTAATTAGTATCTTACCGTTTCCATTAGCTGCCGAACCTCAGCCTCTGTGAGCTCCGATCCAAGTCGAGCTAATCCAGTCTTAAGTTCCTCATATGTGATCGTGTCACTGTTGTCGGTGTGATGTTTGCAAACATTTGCTTCAGACCCTGGATTTCTTCGCTGGAAAGATTTTCAGCAATGACCTATAACCCACCAGACATGTTATCAGATGGCAGGTAAAATTACATTACCAACCGATTAACCGGAGATTGTAATTTGTAAAACAACTACCCGGTTTGCTATCATATATCGGATTACAAATATCTCATGACTACAAATTTCGGACAACAGTTATACCATAGAAATGAATTTGAACTTACCTTGAAGGCAAGTTGCTTTGTTTTCATTCTTCTAAATTGCTTCATTCACGAAAGGACTGCACTGTCTAGTGGCTTGTCTGGTGCACTTCCGCCCTCTCTTATCCATGGATGCTCTGCATAAAGAACATAATTTTAATCTTTGGTTCTGCTTGACATGAATGACACTAAACCGAGAGCCAAGCATGGCGTACCGGTATAAAACACACACGGAACACGCATATAGGAAGTTCTTTAAGCATCTTAAAACCTTCCTTGTAACACATATACATGATGGAATTCCAAGATGCATACCAGATGAAGATGGAACAAACAGTTAAAATGCAAATCTCTGAATCTATTTCCAATGATTAATTACTTATACAAATTCATAGACATTAAAAAAGAATAAGTACTATAAGTAATTACCTAGGACTTGAGTAGAAGTAATCTGCTTTTCCGGATCCTGCGTTAATCCTGCGGACTAGGTCCTTGGCACTGTCTGAAATAGATGGCCTGGCTGACTTTCACAATCAATTTCTCTTCCAAAATAGCATCAAATATCCCCTTTTCTGTCTCTGAGAGGAGAATCATTTAAATTATTTACCAACACTGAAGTAGCAGTTTGAAGGCAAATTGGTGAATTGCGATGATATTATACTATTATTTTCCTTGAGCAAGCTTTGAATAATTACCTGCCCAAAATGGAGGCACGCCACTAAGTAAGATATACAATATTATTCCTGCGCTCCAAATATCAATCTCCTTTCCGTATCTACGCTTTAATACTTTAGGAGCAACATAGTATGCGCTCCCGACTATATTCCGATACACCTTTTCTGCCAAAGGGACCAAGAACAATCAGAGAAAGAATGCCAAGAGTTATAAAACACATAGACATACGATCATTGCCATGCATAGTACATATTATCTAGATGGACATATGAATGCATGTATCGATTCGCAAATTTCACACAATTACAGAAGAAAATTCCCATCATCACGTAAATGATTTTTTTCCTTCCGAATCGGTTTAAAGGAAATCCAGAAAATATAAGCTAAAACTAGTGGAATTTTTTAAAGTAGGCATTCCTTTTTGCTGACCTATTCAGATTATAAACACAGAGTGAAGGCATTCTGGACTAATCGGCCATGAATCCCCGAACATGGACCGTAAAACAGGCATGAAATATACGAAAGGGCAGTACATATAGTCGCAGTCACGAATTGTATCACAATTGAACTGTTTTTGAATGCACATAAAGACAGTGAATTAAAAGAACCTGGTCAAAACAGTTGAGGAAGATTACCTTACCTGTCATCTTAATTGGTAGCAACTAGCAAATGACGTGCAAACCAGTAATAATTCACAATTCAACTGGAATTAATTGACTCATTCTTCTTACAATATTTATAATGTATCATTAAGAGATTAAGGAAAAGCTTAGAATTATTCACGTTAAGCTCAACTAAACAATTCACATGTACACCATAAAGATCTACAAAGCACAAACATACTGAAAACAATAGAAATCTGCTTAAGTTTTTACCTTCGATGAACACCGACAACCCAAAATCCGTGGCCTTCAAAAGGGCATTCTCACCCTTGCTAGACAACGAGAAATTCTCAGGCTTAAGGTCCCAAAGCATCACTCCATGAAATGACAAGGACAACCTTCACAATCGATCTACAAACAGAAGCAGCTGCCCTCTCACTGTAATGTCCCTTGGCAATGATCCTATCGAACAACTCACCACCAGCAAACAATTCCATCACATGGTCTTGGTTTTACTTTTGAATGCCTTTGCAGTTTCTTTTTATTTTCTTTCCATTTTTTATTTTTGTTCAATCTATTCATTGTATATCTTAAGTATTGGCTAATTGCTTAAAGAAAATTTCATTTGAATCATATTATCTGGGGTTTCATGCTTGATTAATCTACTGTTCCTTGTTTCGTCTTCACAAGCTTTGTTTCCCTGTCTGTGTGTATTTCTGGAATCTAAAGAACAGTTGCTTAGCTATTTCCATTACAAATTTGTATAATGGTGCAAGTTAATTTTGTGTTCTTTTGTTTGTTTGTTTAGGTTCATAATAATTTGGAAAATGGAAGGTATTGTTGTTAGAAGGGTCATTCCCTCAGACAACAGCTGCCTTTTCAATGCTGTTGGTTAGCTCATTAAACTACTAGATCGATAACTTTCCATTTAATGTTTATTGGTTTGATCGGTGTGATTTATTTTATTTGAGATCGTTTTTCTTCGTTTCCTCGTGTTTAGGTATGTTGAACCACAACAAGATAAAAGCTCCGGAGTTGAGACAGGTTCTTAATAATAAATGCTCATGATTTTTTTGTCGAATCGCGTCGTTTAGGTCATTTTATTCTTGCATGGAGACTGAAGACGTATATCGGAACTTTGCCTTCAGTTTATGTTAGCTAATGAGTTCTAGTATTTAGACTTCGATCTGTGGATAGAACAATTACAAAATGCTAAGCTTTATATGTTGGTATTCAAATCCATAAGGTTGGGGCTTTAATGGGAAATGTCCAAGATTACTATGCTTAGCTTTGTTCCGTTTACTGTATTACTACAATAATCTCTGATGCATGTACGAGAGGTAAGGTTACTTCATGTTATCGAGTTGTTTGCATTATACGCTGCGTGCATCTGGAATGCCAAATTACATCGAGCGATCAATGTGTTTTAGTTTGAAGGTGGAAGTCTATGATCATAGAGTCGATATAAAGCCATTTATCCTTGCCATTTTACGTGCTATTTCGTTTTCTTAACATAGTGTGATTGATAACTGTTTGAAGATTATAGCGGCAACTGTGTCAAGTGATCCGACGAAATATTCCGAGGCGTTTCTTGGAAAGGCAAATGCAGAGTATTGTGCATGGATTCTTGATTCAGACAAGTGGGGAGGTTAGTTGAACTCCCCCCCCCCTTCTCTCCCCAAAAAAAAACAGTCTGTTCTTCTAGTTAGAATCTATTTATTACAAGGACGATCTTCACGCTGACCTCTGTATGTTATTTTCTGTTTTCAAGGCGCCTCTGATGTTGTCACTCTTTTTGTCTCGAGTTGTCATTTTTTCGTTATTGATGCTTACTCTCCCCTTCTTTTTAATGCGGCCTTTATGGCAGGAAAAGAACTACTCTGAGAGAGTCATGCTGATCTATGACGGCCTCCACTATGATGCATTGGCTGTAAGTTGTTTTGTGACCGGTTTATTATTTTTCGAGGCTATCCATATTGTCGCCTTTTAAACTAGAGGAACAACACGAATAAGGCATTAGTATAATAAATTGCTATGAAGGAAACTATGACGGAATCTATACAAAATTATGACTATTAATTAGGCATCGCAGGTGCTGATTGTGTTCTTATTTCGTAATGTTCTCATTTTTATTTCTTGTTGCTGCCATTCTCCTTTGCATGCTCAAGTTTTTTCGGTTTTCGGGTTTTGCATCAACAGATGTCTCCGTTTGAGGGAGCCTCTGAGGAGTTTGATCAGACTATATTTGCCGTACAGAATGATAGAACCATCGGGCCAGTTGAAGGTCTTGCACTAGATCTGGTTAAAGATCAACAATGGTAGCATTTTAAGTTTTTACTTGTCGACCTTTACAAGCAATGAGCATCATACTTTAAACTGATTATGGTTAAATTTCATGTCCTTGCTTTTTTAGGAATAGGAGCTACACCGACACGGCCAATTTCAGTTTGCGTTGCGGTGTATGCCAAATCGGAGTGGTTGGCCAAAAGGTCATTTTTTTCTTCGCATTTCTATTAACTTGCTATTTCGCATCCTATTTCGCTTTATTTCTTTTAAATATGACGCGTCTCACGTAATTCCATGCTAATCTTTAGGAGGCCGTGGAGCAGCACAAGCAACAGGCCATGTGAACTTTCAAGAATATAGATGATAGAAACCGGAGAGGTTAGTTGCATTATTAACCTCTTTTTACCTACCTAGTCGTCGAACTTGTATCAATTGGTCGATAAATCTTCTCACCGGATCCTCCGGGAAGAAAACGGAGGTTGTTGCTGTTGCAGTTGTTTTAAGAACTGTTGTAGGATCGAAGTTGTGCGAGAATCATCACAGCAATGAAAAATATTGAGTTACATTCATGGAATAATAAAAGAATCATACATTGAGATCTTTCTGTTAAACTTTTGTATAATTTCCGAAAGTTGCAATCTTGATCCATGCTATTGATGAACGATTCAATCTGGAAACTCGAACCCCATTTCCGAATAGAATAATTTTTTTTTTAAATATTTCCGAATAGAATAGGAAAGTGAAAGATGGGACAAATTGCCTAGTAAAATGTATTGCAGACATTACCAAACTGATCTCAGCGTGATAATAAAGTGTGCTTATTATATACTTATCATGTTTTCACAAACACTACTTCCTCGATTAAGACTGATGAGGCGATACTGACTGATACATTCCGCAGGATAAACTAGAAAGAGACAATGAGACGCCTTACAATACCACTGTCCTGCTTTATTTTCCATAAGAACTTGAAAGATGATATTTATATATATATTAAGGATGAAAATTACAGAGGAAAATGTTCATTTCAGTCCACCATGAACCTTGTTTTCCTGATAACCTCGTGATACAATACAAATGGCATGCATTGCTCTCTCTATTACATAGAGAACGAAAATGTCCCCAGATAGAATTACTACTACAGAAAAAAGGAGATGATCCAACTAACCTGTTTCACGAAGAACATCATCGGGCTTAAGGAGAAAGAATTTGATAACCGGAAAATTGGATACCTGTGGGACCAACAAGGTGTTCCGTATTAAGATGCTCCTTCTACTCTTAGTCAATTCTGAACTAACGGCAGAAGTTTCCTCGCGCCCGATAATATCACTTATTTCAGTTGGGAACTTTGTAAATATCACTGTCAACTTCTAAATCTTCTGTTTAAGAACATGCCGTAGTTGGGCTTTTTGGCTTTCCATTCTTGCCTCCAAAAGTTTGCTTTCAAACTATTCTTCTGTGTACCGCGAGGCCAGTCAATGCCCTTTGATCCCTTTTGTTATGTGTGGATGACCAGAGTCGGGTGAGCTCCACTGTCCCACCGAAGGACTGAGACCACCTTTACCTGATCCTCGATCTGGGGATACAATACCACCATTTGACTTTGTTACATTTGAAAGCCTGCCATTTGCTCCTACTGAGATTATCTTATAATTTTCCCCGTTATTTGGACATGACCTCCAAAGCCTTGCTATGGACGACACGTTCTTCGACTGCCTAGCAGGATATGAACAAACTTTGCTAATTTCTGTGTTTGGGGTATCTCCATATGCATTTCCTTCCAATTCAGTTCCGCTACCCGATAAATTGCTGTCCTGATTCTTGTTCACAGATGCAACACTTTCTTCAGGTGAAACTCAAGCCCTGATCGTCAAAATGACTGACAGTTTCCCATCCACTCTCATCTTCCTCAATCTCATCATTCTGATTAAATTGTGCATTTGAATGCCTCGTTATGACGTCTTTCTTCATCATGTTCATTTCAGGACTCACCATATGAACTTTTGAGGCATGGCTGGCAGGACTATATGCAGTACATTGTTCGATTTCCCTTTCGTTCGTTTCAGCTAAAGCAACATCTTCGAAAACAGAAAAAATGTCATCTGGGTTTGAAGGCTCATATGTAAATTCCTTGATCTCTTCTACATTAACCGACTGAGCAGCCTGTCTTAGTGATTCTGCTTCTCGCAATTCTTTCAGGTCCAGATTTCCTGTTCTTGACCTTAGAAAAGTCTCCAAATCTGCTACAAGCTTGTTCATTTGTGAATACCTCTCTTCAAGTTCTACCTTTGCATCAATGAGCTTCATCTGAACACGTTCTTCACGCCAGACCTCAGCCATTTGCAACATTTTTCTTTCCTCGTCGACTTCCTCCCGAAGTTTCATGGACTCTCTCTTAATTTCCTCCACTTCAGCCTTGTCTTCTACCATTTCCTTAGCAAGCTCGTCACATACTTCTTCAATTAGTTCTCTGGCCTTCCTTTCCTTTTCATAATCCTGCATGTATTGCTTTGCTGATAACTTGGCAGCGGCCAACTCATTCACCAATTTGGAATTAACAATTTCAAGCCTCTGGCGTTTTTTCTTTTCCCAGTTCAAGTCAGCTTTGACATCATCGACAAAGGCACGTATTTTCTCATGTTCTCTACTCCGCCATGCAGCCCTTTCCTCGCTAGCTTTCCTCAAGAAGTGCTCAAGTTTCTTTTTTGAGGACCGGCGCTCAGTCTCGAGCTCCTCAATGTGAGCTCGAGCCTGCACCAGCTCAGTTTCAAGGGCAGAAACAATTGATACAGCACTTACTTGTTGGTCAATACGCTTCATGTGGTTGTAAATTTTCCATGCCTCATCCGTTGTTTTTAAGCGGACAGGATCCCACTTTGTTGCTCCCTCCATTGCGGAGTTTGAAAATTGAACTGAAGGCTCAATCTTTTAAGAAAGAGAAAGGCAGGTTAAGATCAGAATAGTGAAGAAATCAATATGCAGAACATGCAGCTGTTCTTTCTTTATCATGTATAATAGCAAGCTACGAGCATGTTCGAGAAAAAAATTTAAAAATCTAAGTAAACAAACAGCAGCAGCCCTCATTTTGACAAATATCCCTTTTTAGCGATTTCCCTCCTAGTTTATCCCAAGACTAAGTGATTATTGGCACTCATCTTTGTCTAGTCATGAACTTCATCATTCAACTGAGATAACTAAAACCACGTTGATTCATGCATTAAATGCAAGTGGTCTGTGATTCTATTCTTTTCCCTTCTAGTTTGCCCAGACTCATCAAGCGTCTCGGACAGGCAATGAACACAAAATGTTTTAACAGATAGATTAATAATATATCGAACACACACTTTGGTAACATTCAAACTGCCGAAAATAGAATGAAAACAATTGGTTCTTCTTTTACAAAATCACCAAAATGGAACATAATAGATCCCATCTAAAAGAAATCACCAAATGTGGGTTCCACACCTAGCATGGCACATGTGTCCTATTACGAATGAGATGTCGAAAGGTTTGGTTTCCTATGCGAGTTACATTCGTCATTTATGTACCAGATCATTAAAAGGTCAAGGTTCGGTTAAGTAGCACAAGGATGCAAGCATACCTTATGCAGGAGACCGTTCTTTGCTCCAGAGACCGAACTAGGGCTCTGTAATGGATCCTCTGAACCATGAATTTTGTCCTTGTCATGATAATAATGGAACACCCATGAAATCCTTACCAGACTGCAGTATATCACAATAATGAACTCCAAACACCCAAATCGTAATCCGAATTTCGTAACACTTGAATACAATTAATAAAAGACGGAAAACGTAAAACCATCAATTAAGACTAAATAATCAGCACAACTTTCAGAAGCAATTTAAACAGATAATCAAGCAAATAATAAATAACAGCAAATAGCATAATCCTTTCCGTAGGAAACCTGTAAAACCATGCTCACAAAATGCTCTCATGATTAGGGGGAAAGAACTATAGCAGAGCATACAACGTTGGCAAGCTACAAACCTGATAAATGCATCGAAAAGGAAACTTTGATTTTGCGAAATCATATGAATCAATTACATTTAGCAAGTTTTGAAAGGTTTGCTCTTTTGTTAAACATGCAAGCAAAATCTAAGGCATCATAAACTAAAACCTCGAAAATCAAGCAATGATAGCATTATAAAGATCAGTTTTTTTTTCCAGCATCAATGGTAAAAGCTTCAAATATAAGAATTAAATCCCTTCAAAATCACAGTTTCTGGATTTGATCACAGTATTCTCATTATAACAAGCGGTTCATAAATAGAAGAGGAATATAGAACATGAAAGCACAGATCATGGAAACATAAACAGGTTTAAAATCCAACCTTGAGCCCTAACTGATCAATCCTCCTCACTGGAACACCGGGCGCCGCCGTCTCTGGCAACCGCAACCGCCACAATCCAGCTGCAAGCTTCCTGGCGGACACTTTTGAAGCACCTTTCCTCCGACATCCCCGACTACCACCTCTCCGGCCATCCTCCTCCTCCTCCGCGAGCTCTTCCTCAGCTTCACAACCTTTCTCTTTCTCCTCCACTTTCCATTTCAGCAAAGGCGTCTCCGGCCTGCTCCGCCTCCCCAAAACCGGTGCACCGCCGACCCGTTTCCACCTCCTATTCCGTGTCTTCCGCTTAGTCATCGGCTTAAGATCCACGTCCTTTGGAATCCTACCCGATAATGTCGCGGGTAAACTAGCTTTCCCCGTCACCTTCATCACTCTCGGACTCAAAACTCTCCCATCAACATCCCAGAAACCAACAAGAAAAAAATCACAAAATTCCTAGTTTATAAAGAAAAAAAATCCCAAAAAAAAACTTTGCAAATTAGTTGACCAAAAACTTCTATTTTTCTGAAGTGTGTGAAATTGATTTGGAAACAAAAACATAAGATGAACAAAGCTGAGCTGAGAAAGGATTGATAGAGAGAGACAGTGTTCTTATGTTTCTTAACCTTAGCTTGTATACTGGTATTTGGAAATGGAGAAAGGGACGTATCTCAGATATGTATAAAAATACGCATAGATGTATCACAGTATTTTTGTACAGTCAACGTATAGTTTGGTAAGATACGGTGTCGTTGGCGGCGTATTTATTTTACTTGATTACTGGTGGGATTGCAAAGTGTCGTTTAAATGGTTAACTATACATTTAGTACCAAAACTTGGTTTCAATGTGCAATTTGGTATTTAAGCTTTTATTTGCAATTAAGTACCTAAATTTAGCCTCAAGGTTCAATTTGATTACCAATTTCATAACAATTTACGTAACAAGTTAGTTAAGTGTGCAGCATGGATTAATCCGAATTAATCATGATAAAGCTTTCAAAATCGAAAAAAAGAAAAAAAAAGAAATGTTATGTTAAAATAATTTACTATTTGTCTTTTGAGTAAATAATATTTTAAAAAATATAAATAAATTATTATTTGATATAGTGCTAATTCTTTGAAAACTGACTTGTATCTTTTTAATTTATTAATTTTTCTTTTAAATATAAATTAAAAATTAAAAATATGTAATATTTTTTAATATTATTTGTGAAAAATTAAAGATAGTGAATCTAATCCAAAGGTCCAAAAGGCTATAAATAGATTAGTTAATTATGTACGAATACCACATTGATTTCAACGAAATAATAATTACATAGACACTAGAAGTAGAGAGAGTTGGCAACAAACATTTAACGTATATGTATAATGTTTTAAATAATATAATATATAAAAATAAAAATATCATAATAAGAATACTTATTTTTATTTAGAATTAATATTTTAATATTTAAGAATTAAGTTAATACGATTGATTCGTGATATTAAATTAGTTAAGGATTTAATATATAGTATAAATATATAAATTAATTATTTTAATGTTTAAAAGAATTATTTATTTTAGAGATCGTTAGTTTAAACATATACGTAGCCGAGTAGGGTCACATCCATATGTATTATCTCTGTCTTTTTTAATGTCTTTGTAGTAATTTCCATACTTGTATTTTTTATATGTTTTGTCATTGAATTTATGAAGCTTAGAACTAGTATAGCGGAGTAGGGTTCCTTAATTTGGTTTTAACCCATTTGGTTTTTTCTTCGTAGTTTGCTATCGTTACTTGTTATCCTTCTCTTCATGTTTTCTTTTAAATTTAGTGGGTCTTACGTTTCTGTTACATGCAGAGATTTTTACGCATGGATTTATTGCAGGGATTACTTCCCATTACAGACGCACAATGATGACTATATTAAGGCTATTCAATATGTATTTATTTTATTTATACATACATTGCATTTTATCTAATTTTTAATTTTTTAAACTGCCGGAGGTCTTCACGAAAGTGCTCTCAACTGGTGTTAACTACTACTCCCCCTACCCATTACATATGGGAATAGGGGTTTGTTGTTGTTAGTTCAAATACCATCGACTATAGTAGGATGATCGAGGAAAATTCCACGTGTCTTTTTCCTTTAAATTACACGTGGAAGACGAACAAATTAAACAATTTGTACCTTTGTTATGTGCCATTCTTTGCATCTTCGCATACAGACGAATTGTACCCACATGGTCTGGCTTGGGTTCGAGCCAACAACAATTAAATTGTGGCCTTGAGTTCTATTCTATTTAATATAATATTTTTAGAGTATTTAAGATTAATTTATTTCGATTAAATATATATCGAACGTATTGTAGATACATCAATTAAACCCATTTTATTCGATTAAATAAATAAAATTAAAAACCAACAATTGTTAAAATTAAATTTATAAAACTTGTTGATAAGCAATGAATGAAAGCCTATATATATTGCCCATATTGACTTTACATCTTAAATGGTCCGGAATCTAAACTTTAACCCCTTTTGTTTTACTATACCAAGTTTCATGTGATTTCCCAGGGCCGATCCATTTAATGCCAAGATTCACATGTGATGCTTGCTATTACAACCGTGTCGAATTTAATTTCTAACTATATATTACCCCTTTCATAATTAGATTGATCCACGAAAGGTTCTAATAGATGTTTTAATGACTATAAATGAATATTTAGTGATGGAATGGACTGAGTTGTTAATTTTTTCCCTAAGATTTCATTTGACCTAATTATCAAGTTCGAGAGAATGTTTCCATCATTTTTTAAAATGATGAATCATATAAATAAACGGTCTATTAATAATTTAACTTTTAATGACGGTGATAAATAAAAAATAAAATTAATGTGAAAATGATATGTTAGTAACCGAGTTCATCAATTAAGTGTAACAGGCTAAGAGCAAATAAATGCAGCACTGTAGGCCAAGAATGAAGAGGGTCCATCAATAGTTGCCGATTGATATATGTGGCTTGCATGCATGTTATGTTAGTCCATTTACAATGAATGAGATCAGTGTGGGACTGCTACAAAGAGAAATCATGGGTTTCCAATCATCATCAACTATTTGACTAAAGAAACTTTATATATATAATAAAAAGACTGTTTGGATTAAATTGTACTAAGATATTTAATTTAAATAATGAAGTGAACTCATCAACGACCTTAGTCGTAAAGTGGAGTGCTATTATTCTAGAAACTCGGGTTTAAATTGTATATATCTGTAGAGTATGTATTTAATGCTAATGGTTAAGAAAGACTCTAAATAATATTATTTTATAATTACTCGAACAATTCAAAAAATAATAATAAAGTGAACATAAAATATTAAAAAGTTTTGGGGGAAGGTTTGGTTGAATATGTCCTAGCCTGCCGATAACCAAAATCAATATTGTCTCTACTTCTTTATGGTAAACGGACGGTACCACTTGAAATTTTATTTGTGTCCATCCTATTTAAAAATTTTATGTTGTTAACGTATGTGTGTCTAACTTGAAAATATTTATGGATCCGTTACTGTTTCTAGTAATATCAAAAAATATATCAAAACAAAATCAAATATTGAGAAAACCTACATATAATACAATATTATATGAGGTTCGAATTCGAAATATGAAGATACCAAGACGAGGGCATGCATTAGTCATTCAAATCGCGCATACATTGGAAACATAAAAAAGGGAAGATTTGATTACGGGAGAAGATGAGTGCTACTGGCTTGAATTCTCGTCGGTGAGAAAGAGTAGATGTTATTTCAAAGATTATTATTAACCGTAATGCTTTTAAGATAATATTATCCGAAAATGACGAGTGGTTTTATATGGTCCTTTTGTTGTATACTTTTAACAGATAGTCATTATTTGATGTGTAAATTTATTAAATATTTTTATTTTATATTAATTTAATATTTAAATAATGTTATATATATATATATATATAGTATATATATTTTTGTTAATATTATATTTATGATGTCTCTAATATATTCTTTAAATATTATCTAAATATAGTTCATAATATAAAAATAGATTGAAAATATGATTGAGATGATATAAATTCGATTCAAGTTTGAACTTTATTTTTGTACTAGAGTTAGATTTGCATGTAAAATCTTTTGGGGTGTACTTGTGGATGAACAATCAAAGTTTTGAGATTACGTGTTAATATAAGAAATGACTTGTTTCAGTCTAGAAGAATAAAAATCGATCTTTCTAAAAAAATCATTTCTTCTTATAGCAATAATCCCTTCATAAGAAAAAAAAATGATTCTTTTGAAAAGAAGAATATTAATTCTTTTGGACAAAAATATCCTACTATCTTGAAAAGGACCAATCTTTTTATGGTAAATAAGTCAAAGGTTTAAATATTACTGTTCTGCCTGCCTGTAGCCTAATACACTATCTTAGATCTTGAAATATAGTCAACGTAATGCAATGGTATATGATGGTCGTCTTCAACTTCTTTGGGTTATTACGGCGAATGCGAAGACACTTCAGGCATATTTGTCCAGGCTCAGAGTTCTCAGAGGGATATTCACCTTGTTTGAGCGCTCGTGCTGGATGGCCTTGGATTGGATCCGAAACGCTAGAAGCCTCCTCCGCTGGTGTAGTAAGGTTAATGTTGATGGCCTTTGATCCACGAACGCGACGAGCAGCTATAGGAGTCATTGCCCGAGACTTGAATGGTAGGTCTTAGGTGAAATGGCCTCGACTTTTCCTGGTTGTGTGGAAACGGGTTAGCTAACACGCATGCAATTATCGTAGGTATTCATTGGCCAGGGACTGCGAGTGGCAGCGAGTGATGATAGAGTTTGATTCCCAACTACTGGTCAATAAACTTCATCGTGATATTGTAGACATTTCAACGATCGAGATCCATTTATCTGAGGTACTACAATTGCTATCTAATTTTAATGGGTTTAGTGTTCATTACAATCACGTACAATCTTGCACATGGGCTATTAATAATGGTAATGTTATGTATTTGACTCGGTTTCTCCCGAGATTATTTGAAACGATGTATTAGCTGAGTATTCTATTTAGTATGAAGTTCTTGTGGGCACTCTTTTCCCCTTATAGGCTTGGAGTTTTAATGAGGTCCTCATTTCAATATATATATATATATGGTCCAAAGGTGGTTCCCCAGCACCTTGTGTATCTTGCAGGTTTACATCCTAAATAAGCCATAAAAGAAAGGAAAAATGGCAAACCCTTGTATGAAGATGAAACAACAAATGAAGCTGACTCCATGCTGAATGCTCTCCGAAAATGAAAATGAAAAGAGGCTAAAGCTATCATTATCTTAAAACAAACAGAAATAAAAGGGTAATACTAATGAAGTAACAAACTTTTATGGAATCTTTGCATCAAAGATACCATTCGATCCCGGAACTTGTATCGGATGATTATAGGGAAATGAGGCTGCAGAAATGGGATGTGGCTTGGCACCGCCAATGGTTGCTGTCCGCCGGCTATGGAAGTTGATGTACACAAAGCTGAAATGCTTGGCCTGCTGCACTTCCTGCGCAATCACATAGGGCTTGAGAACGAATTAGCATCACACTATACAAGATTCGAGTTATGGTAACGTCTACATGTACGAGGATCGGGCTATTTTCTTTTCTATTCAGCAAGGATTATGGAAAGTATACTTGCAAATACCTTGGTTTTGGTAATTGGACTGGTGCGCAGTCAGAGGACGGGCTTGTAATGGAGAGAGAGTTGTTGCACCCTGAACCAGATCCTTCATATGAAACAAAATGCAATTTAGTATATGAAGAATAATATAATGAAAACAAGGACATCGTTAGTTTACAGGTATCAAATCTTACATGAGAAACAGGCACACAATGAGCTGTCCCAGTCGTCCATACATGACCTAGAGAACGAAAGGCCCAGATGGAGAGATTAGTAATCATTAAAAACAACTTCATCAGCACAGAGGAAGAAAGAAGGTTCCTTCTTTGCTTACTAATTGCGAATTTGAATTCAAGTATGCTGGTGTAGCCTGAACAGGATGATATTGACCAGCGTATCTCAGGCTGAGTTCTACCCCCCATATGCCCAACAATCTAGAGCAAAAAAAAATGAAATTAGTAAATATACTAAAAACTCTCAGATTCCTTAGAAAGAGTTACATTAACCTTTGTCATGCTGGGAAATCAGGCAGCAATTCATAAAGGAACTGGCTTATGGTTTAAAATTTAAACATAACTCTGATGTATTAGGTTTCAATTGAAGCCAAGTAAAATTTCAAGTCCTTTGAGAAAGAATTTTGAAGGATAAAGTGAGAAATATAAAAAGAGAACGGGAACGATGGAAAATGGAGAGGAGTAATTGGGCGAATGTGGTCCACAGGAAGTCTAGCATAGATATCGTGGAAACTAAAAAGTTACATATGATTAACCAACTAAAAGGGCCTCCAGAAAACTACATGTTGAGAAAATTGAGCAACACTGACACCAGTTTCAGGTGTTATATTACCATAGGAGACAAACTTAGACGGAGCAGATAATGAAGTGCAAATGTGCCCATCCCAACCTCTGGCTGAGAACCAGCAACAGCCATCAAAGGAGAGTTGCCTGGCATGTAACACACATTTGCTACTGTTGGTACCATAGGAGAAGCCGCTGATAGGCAGTTGCAAAAGATGGAGAGAAAACTTTTGCCCCTGGATTAAGCTTAAATTCCTGATTAAAACACAATATTGAAGTAGGAAACCATCAACATAGACACATTTAGTTATGATAGCCATTTAAAAACTTGTATCACTAGTGCCCAAGATATTAAACAAAAAGTATGGGGCTACCATCTTGGGTGCATAATTTAAGGCATCAGTAACCTCATTACCATGCTAATTATATAGGTGTTCAAACATTTATATGTCAAGAGAAAGGGATCCACCAATAATACCGTCTACATGATATTACCAAGGAAATCTTATATGGTTGTTTTACCTTGGAGTTGTTATTTGATTCTGAACTTTGTGGAGGGTGTATGAGAGTTGAAGCAGCAAATGAACACTGGCATGATTCTGGGGAAGCATCTGCACTGGAGTAGAAGTTGAAATACCAGAACAAACAGGATCTTGGTGAATGTCTGTTGCAGTGGGAGTTGGAGCGGCAAATGAACCATGGCATGATTCTAGGAACATCCGTAACTGGACTAGAAGTTGAAACACCAGAACAAACTGGATCTTCGTGAATGAGTGTTGCAGTGCGCCTTTCACAGCATTGATTGTCAATTTATCATCCATGGAGCATCTTCAGATGTTCCAGTCTGTAAAAGCTTAACAGTCATCCCGGTTTTCCCGTCCTCAATGGGTTTTACTTGAGTAAGGATGCATCCACACACATGTAACAGTAAATCAGATTAAGATGATTGGCAAGACACATACTCAAGACTTGCAGCAAATTTCATCATATTACATTATAAAAACTACAATGTAATATACCAAGAAACCAATAACATTCCATCATTTGGCAGTGAGACCACCTTCTAAGTTTATCTCATTATATAAGATATTAATTATCCAAAGCCAGCAGCCACACTTAATACATCCTATGCCAGATTTGCAGTTAAAAGGACCTAAAGTGTAAACTGCTTAACCAGTCTCTGACTAAAGCTAACACAACAAGGCTGAAACTCAGTGTGCACCAAGGAGACCAATATGCAGCTTGGCCATAAACTATAGTTACCAAATCAAAATATTAAAAAAATGGAACGTTCAGAGGTACCGAAGACAAGCCAGTTATTTTCATTTAGTGGATATTCAGTTGAGTTAAACCTGGCTTAAGAGTGTCAACAGAAGAGGATTCATAGCTTGAAACTGAGTGCCAAGCTTCCTTGTCCTGCAGAACGATTTCATTAATAGGTTGAATATAATATTACTAGGTTTACGGCAAGAAAACAAATAAGTTCCCATGACTTCATTCTCCTTTACTTGAACCTCAAACCTTTGGTCATACGAAGACAAGCCAGTTTATTTTCATTTAGTGGATATTCAGTTGAGTTAAAACCTGGCTTAAGAGTGTCAACAGAAGAGGATTCATAGCTTGAAACTGAGTGCCAAACTTCCTTGTCCTGCAGAAACGATTTCATTAATAGGTTGAATATTATATTAGTACTAGGTTTACGGCAAGAAAACAATAAGCTTCCCATGACTACATTCTCCTTTACTTGAACCTCAAACCTTTGGTCATAGTCATTCTGCAAAAGCAGCGACCTATCAGCTCCTACCTGTCTGTTAGAAAAAAAATGATATGAACTTGGGAACAAAAAGGAAAATGTTGCTGTACATTTGAAAACATTAAAACAATCTATAAATGAAAAAATGCTTCGCACATCTGGATGGAATCGGAATGCATATGATGACAGACAAGGTATATACATCCCATAGAAGAATGAGGTAAGGTGTTCAAAACATGTTCTTACAAGTATGTGCTTCATGAAACATTCTATATCATGGATACCAAGTCGCTTTAGAACCTTTAGCCTGATGTAAGAGATGTTAATGTAATTTTATGTGTCCTTGTTTAAAAGCATTATGAAGAGAAGAGTAAGACAAATTGGATAAGTGGAATGGAAACACTTTTTCTACTTTTGTGGAATCTTACGAGTAAAAGACAAGAGAATCAAGTCCCAACTAGGTCAGACCAACTCCAGCACTAGGACTTAGCTTTATCTTCTTTTCTTCTTTTTTTCCTTTGTGTATGTGTGCATGTTCATGTCTACACATAGATCTCTCAACCAGAAAAGTTTTCTGCTAATAACATGATTTGGAACTTAGTAATACAACTTAAAGAAAAATTGGTTTTCTACCTCCCAGCAATAGTGGCACCAGAAGCATCTTCACCCTGCATGGAGATACAAATGAAGATTTTGAGAGAGATAAAGATGAAAGATTCAACAAAACTCTCAGGCCAATATTTTCCCACATAATATATACTATTTATCAAACAGATCCTTACTTTACAGTTTCCTTGGAGAAAGAACCTGCCAACCAGATGACCCAAGCAATATGATTGGATCTTCCACATGAAATTCAAAACCTTTCAGGAATAATGGAATTCAATCAAAACTAATGGCCAGCAAGAAGGCCTTTATTAACTCATATTTTACAATCAAAAGATAAAAAATACTAGCCTTATTTATTGACATCTGCTTCACATTTCCCACCAAAAATAAACACCTAACTAAAAGATAGTTTACCTTTTCAATGTTTGTCCCATCTCTTTTCTGATATGAAACTTCCTTTGTATTTTCCATAGACTTTGGCAACAACTTTCGACACTCATGTTCCTTTCCAGCTTTTGTGGGTATAAAACCATCAGCAATCCACTCTCATTTTGGACAGAATTACTGCTTTGATAGGTAAATTAAAATGAATTAGCCAAAAGGTAATCGGAATAAAATGAAAATCTCTCCATTCAATTAACACAATTTTCTATCAGCTACCTTTTCTTATTACTTTTTTTTATCCATGGTAGACTTATTGAACTTCTTGGTCTCATTCTGTGGATTGACAGAAGGGAGAATTTCAAATGCAGCTTCTCCATTAGCATGAGCTGTATTTCCAGCAAAACCATCATAAGGAAGAGGGACTCCCTACATGTAAACAACAATTCATGTCAAGCAGATTGCTCAATGTTACATCAGAGCTGAATAAATCCCATAGACTCGAGAAAAGACTATAAGAATGATTATATACTTAGCAACAACTTGAACAAGATCACCAGTGGGATTACAAGAGTCTCTACAACACTACCAATTGCAACATTGGTGGCACATCTCCCCATTTTAGTCAATTTTGCTTTCTTCAAAACATACCTAATAAAAGACATTAATTAATAACCATCCTAAGCATTCAACATAAGAATTAGATACATCTCCCCCCAAAAAAGAAAAGACTCAAGTACTTCATTTGGATGACCGGTTTTCGAAAGGTAAGATGTCCCTTTGGCTTTAACTAAGCCATTTTCCATATTAGACAGTGTTTACTCCAATCCTTGATTGTGCTCCTTTCCTCTTTTTACTTCCTTAAAATAATAAACAAAAATAGCAAATGACTTGAATGTAAGAGACAATCAAACATGATTGTTTCCAATAAAAGCGCAAACCAAGTAAGAAAAATATCATAGCCTTGGATTAAAATGTCTCCTTCAATCAGATCCCTAATTCCATGCTTATTTTAAATGCAAACTTGCACGGAAACAATAAGAACAGCAGAAAAAAATCATTTAAATGGAAATCTAACCAACCAAACAGACAGAAATAATAAACCACAAATCAAATATACCCATCCGATCTCATCCAATTACAAACAAGATCACAGTAATTCAATAGAAAAAACCAAAACCCAGATGCAAATTTCAATAAACAAAAAAAAACCCAAATTGGTTTCAACACAAATCCAGAAAATGAAGAGGCAAAATGCACCATATTCCTTCTCAACCGAGCAGTGTGGAAGGTTCCAGAGATAACAGAGCCATCTTTCAGATGCACATCCACTGGCAGACCAATGATGCACATGGTAGCAAGCAGCAGAGCTTCGTTCATTGAATAATTATCTTCTTCTACTCTGTTTTTGAGTCCCATCTCTGCTTTCCCCTCTTGAAGCTCTGTTTTTTGAGTTGATTCAATTGGAAGTTTTACAATATATATATTGTATTCTTTTGAGGCTGTATGTATAGTAAAAGAGATGAAAAGTAGTAGGCAATAGTGGGATGATTGAGTAGATGGAATTGGAAAGGAAAAGAAAACAACACAATCCAATTTTCTTTCCTATATCTTTTTCCCGGTAATTCCTGTGCTGATTTTATTTTATATTTACAATTAATTCGTCAATATAAAGGGAACAGAAACTGCAAACAATAATATAAAACAACGTCAAAGAAACCACCATAACCAAAATATTTTCTATCATCAACAATCTATTCACTGAGTAAAATAAAACATTAAACTTTTAAATACAATTATTATTTAAACTTTGATTTTATAAACAAAAAATAATTAACCATTTCATGAACCTTTATAATCTATAAAACATTAATCGTTTATTAATAAAGTATTCAAATTCCGACTTTATAAAATAATTAATTAATAATTTTCATAAACGTTTACAATTTCTGAACGAAATTAATCAATCATTCTCGCTTTACATCTTTACCATCTTCAATTCTCACTTTCTATGATAACAATTTTCATTCATTTTTATTATTAAACTACTGTGATTATAAATATTAATATTTATTATAATTTTTTTAATTATTGATAATAAAAATTTAAATACCTTACTGTCATCGATGTTCAAATATCGAATAACCACTAAATAATTTCAATTCAATCAAAATTTCAAGTAATTTCAGGCAGAGATCATTTCAGGCAGATAATCTCTAAAACATTAATTGTTTTATTAATAAGTTAATAACCATTAATTAAAAGTATCAACCTGGGGGGGGGGGTACTACAGTATATAAGAGTACAAGTTACAATAGATTAAAAGGAAGACGGCAAAAGAAATAATCTGGGAAAGGTGAAGCCATAGAGAAGGAAGATGAAGAAACATGAAACTCTCCGAAACCCAAACCCACAAATTGTACAGCAATCAATGAAACATGTCGTGGATCAAGCCAACACCTAAAGTGCCTGGATCAGATATTACGAGTTTCAGCTGCGGTACAGCAACCGCAGCTACTGCAAAATACGAAAGAAAATAAAAAGGAAACATTAAGCACGAATGTATTTATCGTCAAGGCGATTGTTCAGCACTAGAAGTACTGAGTTAAAGATGAAACACAGCATGCTTGCGATTCTTTTACCTGTGGTCGTTGTTGGTAAGCCCCCGGCTGCTGGTAATTGCCATATCCGGGATAGCCGCCATAGTAATCTAGGATCTTGGGGAGGAGTGCGTATCCGTATGCTTCATATCCTTGAGGATATCCATAGTATCCACTGTTCCATTGGGACTGGTCAGGTTGAGCCTGAAACTCCAATCCATTCTGTCTTTAGTTTACAGAAATATACTTGGCATTGCTTTAGATACAGAAAACTATGGTTTTAAAAACATCACCTGTTTCGCTCGAAGGACTTCGTCCCAAGAAAGCCTAACATTTCTTCCTCCTAAAAGTACCATTCAAACGGATAAAGCTTGTTCGGCGCTGGTCCTGAAGTGCATCATATTGCAGAACGCATTAATACTATTCAATAATATTTCACTTGCCAAAAAGAACATGAAATTGTCTCAGTTTACCTGTAACATACTGAACAAAACCACAATGCTTGTTAGCAGGAATTTTTACATGAACTACCTCACCAAGCTGGCTAAATATTTGTTTTAGTTCGTCTTCAGAAACACTGGGATCCAAACCACCAACAAATATCTGCATTTGAGTAATTGAGTTCATAGTTCAGTTGGCCATACCATGAAATCAAGTATACTAATATAAAAGAGAAGCTACCACTGTGGTTTTTCGGATCAACCTCACCAGGATTTCCTTGGGTATTCTGGTAAGCAGCTGCAAATTACAAATACATGTAAACTACTACAGAATAGATGATAATAAGTGATCAAAACAACGGAAAAGCCACGCATGTGCTATCCCTGATGTCAAGATTCTCATATGTAAAGAATTTGAAACTAATACGGTACATCTTCCAAAAGTAAACATTTCGATGTTAACAATGAAGCTACAGTAAATTTCCAGTTCTATCATTCTCACTTCTCTAAACTGGAATTGGACTGTTGAAAAAAACAAAGCATTCTGATCACACACACAAATATAACACACATTTTCAAAATAAGCAGTAAAAATAGATCCCTCCATGGCATGGAAAGAACAAAGTGTACAAATGCCAGCTATATATAACCGAAACATCGGCAACCATAAAAATCTTTTGGTTAAATCAAATATTGCCTCAAAATTTGAAAGAGACTCATCTTTTGTCCTCACTTGACATGAAGTATTTCCTCTTTTTTCCTTCCACAAATCTTTTGGAAGGGGGGCGAGGACAGAGTGAGTTGCTGGTGCTTTAATTGATTGATTCACAGTACACCTTCAAACTTCAAATATCACATACAAGTAGAGAAAAACTGCCTGCTAAACTAATTTCGATTTTTTTAGTGATACAATAAATTCTGAGCATGCACACAAGGCAAAGCACATATTTTTGGAAAACTGAGAAAGTTCTTTTTATCTTGCGGTGACTACAACCTCAAATGAAAAGTAGAAAAGAAAATGTCATCAAAATGCAAAAATAAGGATATATCCATCTACAGCCACACATCCGTTATTTTAGCTAAAGCAATAAATAATGGCAAGTGACACACTTCCATAGAGGTTAAACTTAATCCTTCAACTGATAATGCTTTTAACTACAGGTTCCAGGTTTTGTTCCAGTCTCAGTTTGTCCTCATGCAAAACCATATAATGAAGACTAAGAAGATACTATATTTTGAATGTGCACCGAGCATATAATGAAGACTAAGAAGATACTATATTTTGAAAAAGAAGCAGATTTCAGATGTGATAGAAAAACTAGCACCAAGTTCACTAACAGATCGGCGTCATAGAACATGCATAGCAATTTTAACCATAGCTGCTGCATCTACTTTTGAGTATTAAAGCTTGAATCTAAAGGACAAAAAAAAGGGAGTTTGTAAATGTATGCAAGTACTCAAAGGGAACTGATCCAGTATGAATAAACAAAATTTCTGGACTTGTAAGGTAAATAAAGATTTAAAGGCATGTTGGGAAAATGGAACAAAATGGAATTGATTGGAATCTTAATACGGAACTGGAAAAGAAATTTGCGAACGTAGCACAAATATTGCCACGAGAAAATACTTCTGACATAAACAAAGTAACTGACCTAAAATGGCCACGGATTAAAGTGGAATCATTTCTGCTGATATCAATTCCAGGCCCCCCAAAATGAGAGCCTCTTGATGTCCTGCTTTAAGAAACATGAGTTTATATAAGTTTTAGCATGTTTTAACTTTTAATAAAATTAAAAGCGCCAACTTTACAAAGGCAAACGGGAAGGAACTGGCTTTGTATAAATTACACCAATCTTCAGGTTGTAACTGAAAGGACTTGAATTTTAAGAAGACTGCAACAGATCCACCATAGAAAATTAAAACCAATAAAGAAAAACACAATAATCAACTGGCACTCAACTTGTCAAGTCAAAGTATTTGGACATAAATCATGACAAATAAATACCATAGACAACCAATCAAACTTCATATGGCAATCAAGATAAACTATAACTTAACATAAATCACAAGAGACTACCTTTCGGATACTGCTGATCAGTCCCAAGCTTCTTACTAGCAGCTGGTCCAATCCGCATTGCCCCAGTGGAACAATACATCCCATTCATTTCAGTCATGGAACGAATCTGCTCACTTTCATCACCAAACTTCACAAAGCCATAACCTTTAGACCAGCCCGTGGTCCTATCAGTAACCACTTTGGCACCCTTAACAGATGGGTAAACGGCTTTAAAAGTCTCTTGTAACATGTAATCAGAAACATCTGCAGCTAAATCTCCGACAAAGATTGTGTATTCAGGACCCTCTTCTTGCCTCTTTTCTCCATATCCAAGCGAAGCCCAATTCATCCTAAAACTCTGCTCAGCACTTGGCATTGGTAGCCCGTTATACGACTGCAAAACCCTCTCAGCTGCTGCTCGTGAAACGAACTCTATAAACCCGTATCCCTCTGGCAGACCCGTTTGCTTATTCCTAATCACCTTAGCTGAAACCACCTAAAATAAACCAAGATATTATGCTTTGTTTAATTGCATTTACGCAATATCTAAAGTTAAGCGTTGTGTAATTAGATTAAATACAGAAAGGATTCATCATTAAAAAATGATATCAACTCTGACAGTAATATTACTAGACTAAAATACATTCCCCCTTTTAATTATGATGATCTACATAAAAATAAATAAATAAATTTATTATAATATAATTACCGCTCCAGTTTGAGCGAAGATACTGAGGAGGTAATTCTCATCCATCCACGGCTGAAGATCACCGATCCAGAGAGACCGAATTTCGCCAGAGCCAGTGGCCGCGGAATCGGAGTACCAATGCATCTGATATGGCGGAGGGACGGGTGGTGGATTCCAACCTGCAGGCGGAGGAACCGGCTGACTGGCCTGCTGTTGTTGATGCGTCATCATCCATGGCTGCAACGGCTGTTGTTGCTGGTAGTACTGGGTTTGAGACGGATCGTTTGTCAGTGAAGGTGGCGGAGCTACGCCTCCTGGGGGTGGTTGCTGCATCGTACTTGATAGACGAAGAGAAGAGATTCAGAAGACCTCGAGGCTCAAAGAGGAGAAGAAACCCTATGATAGAGAGAGAGTGTGATTTTAATCGCAATCTGTTGGGCGTTTCGAAACGGAGGGGATTTTGCATTTTATTTGGGTTAACACAGAGGACGACCGTAAAGGTAACACGTGGATAGTTGTAGTTTGATGGGGTTCATGTTTTGTGAGAAAAGTGGCTGTTGGGCATGTAGTGGGTTTGGGCTATTTTTATTTAGGATAAAATCACTCAATGGTCATCAAACGTTTAAGACACTATCAACTTAGTCACTGCTGTTATAAATTATGATTAGTATGTTAATTTTATAAATATATTGTAAAAAAAATATACAATTAATATATTAATTTCAATTTATGAAATAATTAGTACATTATCATAAAATAATTAAAGTTAATATATTTACGACTGATCAAGATGATTTTTAGTTGTTATCATATTGATCATCCCTACTTTGAACTTTCGGGTTGGATTTGGATAAGAAGTCGACACTCAGATAATTTTTTTCACGTCTCTTGACTTTAATTTATGATTTTTCGGATGTCGTTTCAGTAATTATATTCACTTTTATGGTTTTATTTACCGATGCGGTCAGATATTTTCATATCTAGATGTTGTTCGAGTTTTTTTAATTAGATTTTTAACCTTTATTTGTAATTATAGAACAAATATTTCAATTATTTTTCACTGTGGGTTTATCTTGTTGGAAAGAGGCTTTGACGTTGTACATGTTGCTTGTTTTCAATCATCTCTTTCAATGACAATTAGGGATGTTAAACGTGTACAATTGTGTGGATTTCGTACCGTACTCGCTCTAATTGGAGCGGGGATCAGTATAACTTTAGTGGGTAGTGGACAAGTATGAATTTAAAAAGTAGTACCCGTCGTGAGTAGTGGGCGGGTGATGGGTTTGAGACCTTACCCGTCTCGCATCCGCCCACCCCGCATCCGCCCGCCCGCATCCGCCTGCCCCAACATCCACCCGTCTACTAAATATCCATTAAATTTTGGACCTTACCCGCATCCCTAATGACAATTCGGTTTTGTTCCTTTTACTGATTTATATGTCTTTGAAACCAGTGGCTGTTGCTGTGCTGGCATGCGTAAATATGAAATCCTAATGTCGCTTTGGAAAAGAATCTTGTTTACAAGAAAAACAGAATCAATTATCCCATGGGTAAACCATTTTTTGTCCCTCAACTTTATTTTTTTCCCTAAATTCATCCATAAATATTTGAATTTCGTTCTAATCCCTCGACTGTCAAGTGTTTAACGCCGTTTAGGTTTTTTAATAAATTTGTTCCCTGAAACTTTCTTCTCGAACCCTTGTTTTCGACCTCCTTTTGATTTGTTAGCAATAAGATATTGTCTTTTTTTTGAACGATATAGAGATCGAGAAGAAAAACAATATATCTAATTTCACGTTGATCAGATTCTGAAGATCGTATATCAAAGCTCTAACTTGAATTCTGTAAATTTTAAAGGGATTTCTAGCTAAATTAAGAAGAAAGAGAGAACGGAAAACGTTTTTACCAATTACATTGCAAATGATGGCTAACAAGAGGCGAATAATAGTGGAGGAGGATTTCCGTCATTTAAAAGAAAATGTAAAAATTGTAAGAAAAATCCATAAATAAAACCCTCTAAATGCAGTATTTTCCTGTTGTCGTAAAGCATTTAGCGGTCAAATGATCAAATAAAAATAATATCGAAATTAAGGGATCAAATTAAAAAAATATTAAGTTGATTGATCGAAACAGAAACACAGCCAAAGTTGGATGACCAAAGAAACGCAGTTTACCCTTATTCAATTAGAGACGAAAAGTACGCCCAAGGTGTTGAAAACAAATGGATAGCTCATCTTATTAAAGACATACATTAAGGTCCATGCAATGAAAAAGATTCCATTGCAGAAGCCAGCAAAACAAAGATCAATAATTTGCTCTCCATGGATCTGTGCCTCTCACACACACCATGAACACCATCTTCGCAGTTCTCTTGTTTCTGATCCCGGTGTTCGTCCTCCTTGCATTGCGAAAAAGATCACCAGAAAGGGTTCCTCCGGGTTCACTTGGACTACCTCTAATAGGTCAAAGCCTCGGCCTTCTCAGGACAATGCGAACCAACACGGCAGAAGAATGGCTCCACAAGAGGATAAGAAAGTACAGTCCGATATCTGTTCGGGAAACCGTCTGTTTTCATCTGCGTTCAGGCTGCAAACAAGTTTGTGTTCGCCAGTGACAGCAGCTGCATTGTTAACCAGCAAGTGAAGTCGGTCAAAGCGATTCTCGGCGACCGTTGTATCTTGGAACTGGTCGGGGAAGATCATAAGCTTGTCCGAGATGCTCTCATATCGTTGAAGCCCGAATCGTTGAAGCAGTTTATTGGAAAGATGGATGAAGAAGTAAGGAATCACCTTGAGATGCATTGGCATGGCAAGGAACAAGTGACGGCATTGCCACTGATGAAGACCTTTACATTCAACATAATCTTTCTCTTCTATCCGGGAACGAAAGAGGACCTAGAAGAGACAAACTCGTATATGATTTCCGATGCATGATCGAAGGAATGTGGTCGATACCGTTAATCTGCCGTTCACACGCTACAACCGAAGCCTTAAATCGAGTGCAAGGGCCCAGAAATTGTCGAAACATCTCATTGATGAAAGGAGAGAGGATCTAAAGCAGGGTGCTTCACCTCGCCAAGACCTCATCACTTGTCTGCTGAGCATTCATAACGAGGAGAACGAACAAGTAGTATCCGAGAAAGAGATTATTCACAATGTTATGCTCATCATGGTTGCTGGATATGACACCTCGTTCGTTCTTCTCACCTTCTTGCTGCGCCTATTCGCTAACGATCCTGCCATTTATACAGCTGTTCTTCAAGATGCATATCGACGCGATCTTAACTTTATGAGGTTAAACTCGAAATAGTGTTGCAGAAAAGCACTTATGATTTGTTGATTTCTGGTTGCAGAACAAAAAGAGATAGCAAAGAACAACATGGGGAGCTTCTGATACGGGAGGACCTTACCAAGATGAAATACAAATGGAAAGTTGCCATGGAAACTCTAGGACTGTTCCCGCTGATCTTCGGTAGCTTCCGGAAAGCCGTAAAAGATATCGAGTATGGCGGATATCTCATTCCGAAGGACTGGCAGGTAAGTAGAACTATACATTCCACTCCATTCCACTTTCTGTCAGCATTCCGGACACTGATAAATTTACTTATTTGTATCAAGATTTTCTGGGTTATGGGCATGACACAAATGGATCGTACCATATTTCCGGAACCATCAAAGTTTGATCCAAATAAATTCGAGAATCCAGCTTCACTCGAATATGTCCTGGATACGAGTTTGCAAGGATCGAAACCGTCGTTTCGATTCATTATCTGGTTACTCGGTTCACATGGAAGTTACTACGTTCAGACAACTCTTTCAGCAGGGATCCAATGCCTGTCCCGGCAAAAGGATTACCTGTTCAAATCAGTCCCAGGAAACTGTCTGATATTTTGGTCTCCTGGTCACTTGTTTCAAAGAAACTTGCAAGATTTCTGTTGCAGATACTCTGCTTCATTACTGAAACTGTTTCCCAACTATGTCCGAAAAACAGAATCCCGAATTTGCAAAGCAGTTAAGAATAGTTTTTTTTTTGGAAAATACACGCATGAATTGCATGTCAATAAACAAGAAGACATCACATCTCTATATATAAAACTATTCTCAACTAAAAGAACGGTTTTCAAGGTTCTATCAGCATCAATGCCTCCATCTTCTATCATACAAAGCAATTCAATACATGAAATCTGTCTACTCGTAGTCCGGTTACTATATTTACAATCGATACTGATACACGATTACTAGTGACGTATTGCATACGACCTGAAGTACAATAGATGAACTAAATGTAGTAATTGACCACTGGCATAATAATAAATGGCGGAAGCAATACCTGCCTAGCAATTTTGTGGCCTGAAGTACTTTGGAGGCTTAGAAGGACACCGTTCGTTCATATGGGGGTACGGGTCCAAGGAATTATATCCAGGTAGTTCCATTGGATACTTCCCCAGAATCTGACAATAAGGAAGCTTTACATCATCCGCATCGTTGCACCACTTTGGCAGCCGGCTTGAATCATTCTCAAAAAACCTAGAGTATATGCATCTCTGATCTGTGTTCCGGGATTAATTCAAACAAAATGAGTCAGCATTAGGTTTGGAGCATGAATACACGAAAGATTTGTATTTCAAAAGAGAAACACTACAATCTTAGACAGATTTTACTCGAAATAAGCTCACCGTGAACTCAGTCACTTGAATAGAGTCGGCAATAGGATCGAAAAGTCCTGCCTTCTTGTACATTTCGAGGATGAAAGCAATACACGAGGTAATCATCTTGTTCAGGAACAGTCAGCAATTGATCAAAAGATGTTCCATGCTTCTCAATTTCCAGCAGTATATCAGAAAGATTAAGACCCTGCTCGTGAACACCGTAATTAGAACAAGGAAACGATAACACGATACATCTATTTTATCTTCAGCACAAGAGCAATATATATATATATATATATCCAATATTTTTGAAGAGAGAAGTGATTTAAATCTTATCAGTTTTCGAAGCATCTAGGCTAAATTTTCAAAATCGTTACAAAGATTAAAAAAGGGGGAAAAACACATGCATGCAATTAAGCAAAGTGCATGTTACCTTCAAGACATAAATATCAAACAATTCAGATTATGTTGTGTGAACATTCCACAATAAGTTGAACAATCACGAAAGATATATCATACCTGAGTTCCAAGCCGCTTGTTTAAGCCCTCATTCCACAAGTTAGCAGCATAATCAGGTTGCATTTTACTCCAAACTGTCATAGCAGAAGCTACCTATATAATTGCAGGAAAACATTCAAAACCTATGAACTGAAAATTTTACAAAGTGAGAGACGGAAACAGAAGGGAAGTGTCGTATGCATCGACGGCATTTTTATTTGTAAATGCAATGACAGAATGCAGGAAAAAGAGGAAGATCGGGACCAACAAAATATACACTGCAACATTGTA